TTCAAAATGCCTCGCATGGCAGCCCAGTTCACCGGTTTTGTCGCAAATACTCCTAGTTATCACAGCCGCCTAAAGTGGATAAAGATACGAGCTAAGAAAACCCTCCGAAACACCCCAAGTTTCTACACAGCCCTCGCGTGATGCCTCACTGGGGGAGGAGCACATAAGTTTTCCGATTCGAGAAAACAGTTCACAAATACAAAAATTTACTGAAAAAAAACATTTACAAGCAGATGTGTTGACCCGCTCCTCCTACCTGCCTTTACAAACGTATGATACAAGCAACTATCGCGAAAGCCTGCTGGGGTTATCGGCAGATAACAGCAAATTTTAGATCAGCTTAAAAGGCCAGGGCCAAAGAGAAGTGGAGAAATGAGCCCGGTATGCATGCTCTCTTGAGTTGGATGACAAGTTCAGGAAACATATGACACAGTAATCGAACTAAATGCGAGAATCACACAGCACTCAGATTTCAGCCGTAGAGGAAGTGCAGTAAGAATGTTGAACAGGAATGGTCCACGATTACATGCCTGGGCCTTCGAAACTCCGTTCGTTGCGAAAAACCCGCAAAACGCCGGCAGAGAAGCCGTCACAAAATGAAAGATGAGAACTGCTCATAGGAAGAAGGAAGAAAAAGGTGTATTCTGCCTTGAAAGGTAGGTGCACGGTAGATTTACTGTCAGATTCATTCTGAAACACAAAGGCCGATGCTGTAGTGGCTAGCGTGTTGTTCACGAATATGAAGGGGAGTCCCCTCCTGGTCCATAACAATTTTCGATAACGGGTACCGTTCACGATGCCACTAAGTCCGCGCACCCTTGTTTCTAAGAAACAACGAAAACAACTCGTTGATCAAAGTTCGAGAAGCAGAAGGACGTTTGAAACTTGGCTAAAAATAGTCAAAATAGGGCACAAGAACGAGCGCAGCTGCTGAGCTGCCTACGTCCAGTTGGTACGCATCGCCCATCCAATGCATGTGCGCCACCTCTAACTGCTCGAATAGTCGTTTACTTTCGCGCCGACGTCACTCACTAATCTTTACTTTTCATTTGCGACCTTGCAAATATAAATTTAGCTTTCACGTATGTCTAGGTCTCATATACGGTTACAT